GAACATAACTTCTCTTTTTGAACTCCAGGTGTCCGTGTAACAAATTCAACAAGGTCTGGAAGGCAAGGAGACGGCCCAAGGCCTGCAGGGTTAATTGTTTCTGATTCCAATCGGAGTGAATCTTGTTTCTCTAATTGAGAAGTTTCTTCTACTTCCTCAGGCATCATTCCTCCTGCTAATAGGTCAAGTGCTTGGTGTGTTCCCTCTAGGCTCCCCAAGCCAAGGTCAACATTTTCTATAGGAAGTCCAGTTTTTAAAATGTTAGGAGTGATCCTTCCACTTCTGGGATTAGATGAGTTTTTTTCACCCGCTGCTCCAAAGTTAAGCACCAGGGTTTTGGGAGAATCTAATGGAAATTCAGAAAAGGATGGGATTGGTTCCAAGTCAGTGAGAGTGGAGGGATTACAGCCTATAGGTGACATAGAATTTTCTTCACATACTTTCTGAGTCAGGGCAGTTGGGGATCTATGTGCTTGGTCTACCCGAGTATTGCAGAAATCAACACCCATATCCCCCAGGTTCCCCAGGGCAGCAAGCTCTTCTACTTTTAAGTCTGTAACTTCAAAGTCTTCTAAGGCCTTGCTTTCTACTGTCACAGTTAATTCTGAATGGACATCTCGTAGCTCCAGGGCTTCTGTTTCTGGTTTCTCTGGGCTCTCCCAGGTCTCTGATTTCTTCTTATTCTCATTCCAAACAGCCAGTTCATAAATCCTTTTACCTTGAAAGTCTTTTGATCTTTCTCTCTTGAGTTTGAGGCTTCTGTAACTAGTTCTGGAAGCTGATTCTGGAGCTGAATTTTCCAGCCACTCTTCACTACCAGCTGAAACTCCTTGCTCCCGTGCACTATCTGTTAAACACATATCTGATCTGGCTGGGGACTGCAGAAGCAATTCTGGGGCAGAAATTTTCACAGGTACATCTTGTGGGTTCTGGAGTAAAGACCTAGCTTCTGACGGAAATGAGTCTATTTTTGCTTTTGTGGAAGAAAGAGCCTGTGCGCTCAAGTCAATCACTATTTTACTTTGAGATTCACTTCCTGTCATCAATTTCTTGGACTGTTCAGCCCTTTTGTCAGTCATTTGTAACTTGGGCTGTTCTATTTCTCCCTCCCATGCACATTTGTTCCCACGGTTCAAATTAGAATCCTCTATGCTATTGGGCCCAACACGGATACCTGTTCCCTCTCCTACCATCCCCTCAGAAAGCTTTGGTCTCTTTTCTTTTAGTTCAGCGTTTGCCTCTACCTCACTTTCCCCACAACCCTTAGATTTGTGGAGCTCTTGGCTTTCCTCTTCCTGGATACCAGATTCCGTAAGGTGAGCTTCTACCAAATTCTGAGATTCCATGATATGGCAGTGTATATCTGACAGCTGAGGGCCTGGCTCTACACCTGGTGGCCCTGGCTCTCCCAGCTCAAGTTCAATTTTTCCACCTGGAGATATATCCCTATTAGCATCACTCTGGAAGGAGCTACAAGTCCACATGGCCAAAGTGTCTGTCTTTGGGGTAACAGTTTCATAAGGCCTGCTTTGGCACAACCTTGTCAGAGGCTGTAGGAAGCCGTAGCTACCACCTCTGCTCTTTGAGTCTGTGCATTCTACAACTGACCATTTCCCTAGAGACACCAGAGTTTTTGCAATGGGCTTTTCAGGGTTGCTGACTAAAGGAGCAGAGTTCAAACTTCTATCTGGAGGCAACTCCTCTTGGGATGCACTGTTGTTCAAAGTAGAAGTGGAAGGGGTATCTGAACTTTCGACTCTAGAGAGATTGCTGTTTTCCCCATTGGCCAATAGACCACCACTCAGCTTAGTCTCAGGGGCCCCCTTTCCACCACTACTGTAGAATATATCATACAGGTCCTTAGCATTGGCTGTGGCTAAGCATGAATTTCGCTTTTCCAATTTTTTGGCTTGTTCACTGAACACACTTGAGAGGGGAGGTGGAGGACGCACTAACACAGAGAAAAGGGTCTGGTCCCTGTCACTCTCACTCACCCCAGGAGCCGTCTCATCAGAAGGAATGGCAGCTGGCTGTGCTGAGGCCATGATGGCTACTGGCAACACAGGATTCAAAATGTTAGGACCCAGGAAGCCAGGGCTGAGAGTGTGAGATACAGCTGGGTTTGATTTGACCGGTGCCAAGACAGCATTTGCTTGAGCAGGAGATGGGGAAGCTAGATGAGGTATAACTGGGGGTGGCGGAGGTGGTGGTGGAGGGGGTGGTGGAGGAGGTGGTAGCATTTGCTCAGGTATATGGGATGGCTCATTCTTTTCAGCCAGTACCATTTTTTCCTCTGGAGACCCTTTTAGAATCACCTCTTCCCCTCCAAATGCTTTGGAGATGATGTCAGGAGGCAAGAGGAGATCAGCTGAAGACTCTTTAACCACTGGCAGAGGCTTAGCGGTAGTTCCAGAAGACTTGATGGATAGAAAGGTGTTAAGAGGAGCTGGCTTGCTCACTGTGGCTGAACCTGACTTGCGGAGTACTGTGGATGGGATCGGCAGGTTGGGTCGGATCTTAGTCTGGGTTGAAGTTGTCACAACAGGCATCCACGGGCTAGTATGTGCAACAACCGTTTTCCCAGAGAGCTTGATTTTGATGGGCTTTGCCTTCCCAGCCTCAGCCTTGCCATCCTCTTTGTCCTTACTGTTTTCTACAGCCTCTTCCTTGGGAATACTTGTGGCCATTGAACTTTTTTCCTCTTCTTTCTCTGGCTTCTTCCAGCTGAATTTCCCGAAAGAGGAAGATGTTGGTGATTCTTTCTTTACCTCTTCCTTTAATTGGAGTTTGATGTTACCCTTCCTTTTACTTTCAGTCTTTTCAGGAGAGTTCCCACCCTCAGAGAGTTGGTCCTCTAGTTCTTCAGAGACTTTGTCATCCTCTTTTACTTCCTTCATGACCTTTGCCTTTTTTTCTTTCTTTTCTTCCTTTGGTTTCTCACTGAGTTTACGCTTTAGCTCACTCTGTCGTCGCCGTTCTGTCTCTAGGACCACAGCCAAGCCAGCTTGGCGGTCCAGATTCCGCCGCTCCTCATACAGTGGGTTTTCAACCACATATTTCTGGGAAGAGAAAAGATAAAGGCTCAACAACTGGTCAAAATACAGTAAGAAAGAAAATCTTGGCCCTGTTACTGTTGGAATTCAATTGGTAGAAACCCCTGAAGTAGAGTTATCTTCTTCAAGGATACAGATGGTTCTACCAGGTCAGCATCTCTTAATAGGACTGAAGAGACCTTCCTAGTAATTACATGGAATTTAAAGTATTAATGAGTTTTTCTGACTCTGAAGTTGTTTGACAAAGTCAAAAGGATTACTGTAGAAAGTGGAAAACTCCACAACTACTACAAAGACCAACCTTGTATTTCTCATTGTGCTGGTGACCCTTCACATGTTGCTCTCCAGAAATTGGATCCCCCAAAAATTCCTCACAGAGTTGGCAGTAATATCCAGTGATGGGAATCAGAAACTCAGAACCTGAAAGAAGAAGTCAAGAAAATAAGTCATTTCCACCTAGGATGTCAGTAAAGGAAATCCCACTTCCCCTTTGCAATAAAAAAGTCAACGGTATACAGGACCTTACCCACTTTCAAGTCAGAAGTAGCATTTAGATGAATCTAAATGGCACAGTCTTTCCAATTTAAAACTTGAAACTCAGAACCTCTAGCCCTTCTCCCTCTTGGGAACATTACCTAGTTAATTCAGGAGTTTCCTGTGCCAGAGTCAGTTCTGTTGTTGATGCTCCTCAAACTCCAACTACCACTAACCATTGTAGGAAATTTAAAAACTATACTCCCAAATAGCTCAGTACCATTTGTATGAGGATCTCTCATGCTGGTATTAATTACTCAAGAATCTACCTTCTATAAATTAGCACTGACTACTTAACGAAGGTAAGAAATTGAGAAGTATAAAGACAGACTTTCTACTTCTCAACCTACCCCCAATAACAACTATTCAAAAATATTTTATAGTTCTCAGGTGAAAAAGTAGTTAAATTACTATACCTTTTATTGTTCTTTTACCTGGATTTCAAATAAATAAGATTTTGGTACATAAGTCAGTGACAAAAAAAGTTATATATACATTAAAAAAATTTTTTTTTTAAGTAGGCTCCATGCCCAGTATGGGCCTTGAACTCATGACCCCAAGATCAAGAGTTGCATGCTCTGCCGGCTGGGTCAGCCAGGCACCCCTCAGTTATATTTTAAAATGGGTATGTATATGTTTAACAATTGTTAGAATTTTGGCCATATGGGTGGAGATCATTTCTGTCATATAGATCTCTATTTCTTCAGGATCTAGTTTGCACATAGAAGGCATTCTTACACCTTTGTTAACAAAATGGTTATGTCCCACCCTATGCTACTTCCTAGCACCTTAGTTCAGGGGACTCTTCTTTGGCTAAATGTAAGGAAACTACAAAGGAGGCAGGGGGGATCATACCTTTTGCAGGAACAGTTATCTTGTCAGTACGCTTTACAGCATCTTGCTTGGCCTCACTCTGGGTCTTTGAAGCCCAAGGTCTGTTGTAGGGATCCAGTGTCTATTTGCAAGAGGCAGAGGCGCTCACACAACAGCACTAAAACTCAATGACCCACTTTTCTCTCTTTTTCTCCCCCACACCAGGGGGACCAGAAACCCCCAGCTACCCACCCCCACCCTCTCTGCCAACTGTTTAAACGGAAATCACCTGTGGAAAAGGTAAACACATGTTAGAGCAAGTACTAGCAACGGATAAAATGAAACAAATAATCAGGTACTCAAGGAATCAAAAGAGGCAAAAGCCTCACTTACACTTGTCATGGTGTTTAGTTACAGGCAGGTCCCCTGGACTGAGTCCTGGGGATGGTGTGTCCTTTGTTGGTATCTCTTGGCTCTTCAGATTGGGGCTCCTGCCCATATGAGAATGTTTCATTTTCCAGCTTTGTAATGCAGATGGGGGTGTAGAAGTTTGAGGGGAAGGAGGGCGAGAATGGAAATAATAGCGAGCAAGATACCTACCTGTGTGTGCTTCTTATTGTGCATATGAGTGAAGAAGTCAAACATGGTTCCACAGATGGTGTTGCAGTCTTTGCACCAGTGATTGCCAGCATCATAATACTCATAGGCAGCAACAGGCTGATCAGCCTGCTTAGCAGCTGGCTGGGGGCTCTCGGCAGGCTTGGGGCTCTTAGTATGGGAATTCTCACTGTTTACCTTTGATTCCTAGAGGGAAAACACCTGCACTCAGAAGGAATTCTAGATCTGTCTTCCGCAGAAAAAGCAGGTAGCTTACTGCAATAATCGATACAGGGCCACATGACCATATTTTCAGTGTCTACAGCTATATAAACTAGGGAAAACCTCATGAGAAATCTGTTTACAAGGCTCAAACAGAACTATAGTGCTACCTGATCATGGAGAATACATCATAATGGCAATATATTTACTTATATATCCTAAAATATTTAGAAAAATACTCAAGATTATGGAAACACTGGCTGCCTCTGGAGAGGGGAAGTAGAGAACAAGGATGGACAGGAGTCTTTTTACTGTACAGCCTTTGGTAGATGTTGAATGTGTTCCCTATGCAATTAAATACATTAGTTAAATTTAGAAATCATAATGACAACTAAGAAAAAAGAAAAAACAACATGGAAGAGGTAATTGACAGGTTAAGCAAATGCAGAAAACACGTAGTAGTGAACCCACTTATCATAGACACATCCTGGTATGCAAAACTGGAGAGCAGGGCTGGTGTTGCGCATAGATAAAGCAGACAGTCATCTACGTGGGATGACTTAAGAGAATCTGGGTAAAATATTTCAAACTGCCTAAAATACCATCATTAGAATTTAACACCTTTGAGTTAACATGAATCCTCTTTTAAAACATATCAACTCAAAAAAAACCCATTATCAACTCTTCAGATTGAGTTATCAACAATAAATACTTTAATATGAATTCATGTGTCAGCAAGCTGGGAACAAGGTACTTAGGAAGTGAGAATTTTGGTAATGTTGGGGAGGGAGGCATAGAAAACAAATAATTTGGAACAGAGGGAGGGTAAGTATGAATGAGGAAAAAAGATCAGAGAACTGGGCACATGGGCTGGTGGGAAGAGGAAGACAGGCTGGAGAAAGGGAAATTAGAACTTCAAAGATAATCTTTCCCTACTAGAGTCTTGTTCAAAAGTCACTAAAGAAATCATACCCAGCAGATAAGGGATGGGCACATGTATACACGGTTGGCAAGTATTAACTGGCACCATCTTTCTGCAAGATAATCTAGGAATACATATTACACACCTCAAAATTCTTTATACCCTTTGACCTAGCAATTCCACTCCTTGACATTTATCTGAAGTAAATTATTGCTTCAAACAGGAGGCGATTTGACTGGTTAAATAAACGTCGGTATTCTTGTAACAATAAAAAAATAAGGTCATTAAAAATGATATTATAGAAATCTATTAACATGGAAAGATGTTCATGATATACTGAAAAAATCAAGTAACTAAATACATTTGAATAATCAATAAAAATATGTAAATAGGCATAGAATGTCAAGTGTCACCTTATCTGAATAACTTTCTGTAACTACTCTATATCCCTTATCCTTTTTTTTTTAGACACTTGTCATTACCTAACCTGTACTTGTTTATTTATTGTTTATCTTCTATTTCATGAGAGTTAGAACCTTGTCTATACAGTTCCCTACTATACTTCCCCCCCCCCCCATCTAAAACAGTGCCTGTCACTTTCTTGGAGATCAATAAATATTTGCTTAATGAATTAATAAACAGAAGATTAGTTGGAATAATATATACCAAGATATTAATGATAGTTGCCTATAGGTAGATGAATTGTGGAATTGTGTGTATGTGTGTTTATTTTTATGAAATGAATAGAAAGAGAAAGAAAACCTTAAACCAACTATGCATTTTAAAGAGAGGCAAAGAAAGAAGAAATACCAACCAGGTAGGAAAGAGGTTGTAGACACATTCCTTACTACTGAAATTAATACTGAATTGTAACATATCCATGTTGGCCTCAGAGAACATGAAGTCTCATTCAAATCAAGGTGATCGGTCATTATGGGGCTGCTGCACAAATGGGCCCCAAATAATGTATAAGTCAACTAAGGCCAAAACTTTCAAGCTCTTTTCCCATCAAAGGCCCTGAACTCAATGCCCTGGTATAAAAAGAGTATAGTCCTACCTGACTGAAAAAGAGAACTCTCCCAGGAAGAATGGAAAAATCAGAGCCTGGTTGATAGAGAATACAGAATATCCTCTTTTCTACCTCCCCAACACTGAGTATCTACTATATAACAGACAAAGTGGATGCCATTGGAAACACAAAGATACATGAGTTCTACTCTTTTATTCTCAGGGAGTTCTTACTTAGTGGAAGAGATGGGCATGAGAACAGACATGATCTTAATCAAGTTTTGTTTTTTTAAGATTTTATTTATTTATTTGAAAGAGAGAGGAAGAGCACAAGCAGGGGGAGCGGCAGAGGGAGCGGGAGAAGTAGACTCCCCGTGGAGCAGGGAGCCCAATGCAGGAGCTCGATCCCAGGACCCTAGGATCACAACCTGAGCTGAAGGCAGATGCTTAACCAACTGAGCCACCCAGGGGCCCCAAGAGAATCTGTCAATCTTGCACTTACATGAGATTTGAATTTAAAACTGAGTTCACTGAGTTAAGTGCAGAGGAGGCAAAATATGAAGTATCTACTTTGCTGCTGTGGATCATGGCAGGAAAGAAGAAACGGCCAATAATGAAATTATAATGAGCAAGGGGGAAAAGAAGCATGAAATGAGGCTGAAGAGGTAGGCAAGGGAGTACTGCAATCACTGGCTATATGTGGAGAAAGGATTAAGAGTGTAGTCATACAAGCAGGAATTGTAGGTGGCTTGGATGGCAATAAAGATGGTGAGATGGATGAAACCGAGATTTACGTCAGAGGGAGAACTGAAAGAATCTCATTGATTCAGTATGGAGCAGTTAGGGAGAGGGAAGCACTAAGAAAGGTTTTCAGGTTACTGGCATGAAAATTGTTGGACAGTGGGGCCACTGAGATGGAGAACACTGAAGGCAGGAAAGAGGGAGGATGCGTACATCATTAGTTTAGTTTAGGATGTGTTGACTTTATTTTTTTTAAAGATTTTATTTATTTATTTGACAGAGAGAGAGAGAGTGCGTGCACAAGCAAGGGGAGCTGCAGAGGGAGAGGGAGAAGCAGGCTCCCCGCTGAGCAGGGAGCCCAACATGGGGCTCAATCCCAGGACCCTGAGATCATAACCCAAGCCAAAGGCAGACGCTCAACCGACTGAGCCAACCAGACGCCCCAGGATATGTTGATGTTAAAGTGTCTATGAAACAATGAAGTGGAAATAGTGAGTAAAACTGTTGGACGCTCAAATTTGGACCTCACCAAACTCATTTGAGCTAGAATATAAAACCAGAAGTTGTCAGCATGGAATTTCAGCATAGACCTGGATAAAATGACCTAGGGAGAGAGCAGAATTCTGGAGAACTGGGCTACGACTGAGTCCTGCAGAACTAAAATATTTAAAGATTAGGTATAAGACAACACACAGCAAAGGAGACTAAGTAGCAGCAGCCAGCATACTAGGAGGAAAAGAAATGTGAGAAAAGCCAAGGGAGTAAAGCATTTTTAGGAGACAGTGTCCCTGTATCAAATACTGATTTGAGAACTGAAGTGTATTCACTGGCTATGCAGCATGGCATTGACCCAGTTGCTAACTGTGAATGCACAAAATGGTATATAGACGTTACAAGAAGATTAGAAAACCATGCTGGAGTGGGTTAAGGAGTAAAGGCGAGAACAAGAACATAGAAAGCCCTGAATGCTAAGGATCTGGGATTCTACTCTGTGGGCAATGGGAACTACTAAAATTCTGAAGTAGAGTCCCATGATCTGATCTGTGCTTTACAAAAATAACTCTAATATGAGTTAAGAACAGGTTGGAAAAGGAAACTAAGGGAATGCTTAGTTAATAAAAGGCTTCTTTAGGAGTCCATGGAAATAAAAGATATAATAGAAACAGAAAAGCTGAGTTGTTACCTTGCTGTTGGAAGAGGAGTTTGAGGATGATGACACTTTTTCTGGGCTCTTAGATTTTTCTGCTTTCCCAGACTTCTCTGGAGTCTCTTTACTCTCATTTGAAGACTTTTGGGATTTATCCAAAATGTTAATTCCCAGGATCTGAGCCACTTTGTCCAGTTCAGACTGCTTCTTTTCTGCCTCTTCTGCCTCTTGTCGAAGTTCTGCAATGTCCTTCATAATGTTATCCTGAAGCCGACTCACCTCCACGAGGAGCGGGTCTTTGTGGCCATCTTTCTCCCTTCGTTTCTTGCGTAGCATTTCCCCTGAGTAGTTAAATGTCAAAAGAAAGAAACACAAGGAAAGTAAGTTAAGACAAGTCATGTTTCCATTGTAAGTAGTAATCTCCCAAGAGGTCATGGTGACAAAATCTTTTCCCTTAAAACATTCCTTCCTGGGGTGCCTGGGTGGCTCAGTTGGTTAAGCGACTGCCTTCGGCTCAGGTCATGATCCCAGGGTCCTGGGATCGAGCCCCGCATCGGGTTTCCCTGCTCAGCGGGAAGCCTGCTTCTCCCTCTCCCACTCTCCCTGCTTGTGTTCCATCTCTCGCTGTGTGTGTCTCTGTCAATTAAATAAATAAAATCTTTAAACAAACAAACAAACAAATAAACATTCCTTCCTAAAAGCAAGACTCTCCTTCCACATGGGCTAGTTTAGGTGAAGTTTCTTTTCTTTCGTCTTCTTTTTTTTTAAATTTTTATTTATAAGAGAGAATGAGCATAAGCAGGGGGAGGGGCAAAGGGAGAGGGAGAAGCAGATTCTCCTCTGAGGAGGAAGCCTGACTCGGGGTTCCATCCCAAGACTCCAGGATCATGACCTAAGCCAAAGGCAGACGCTTAACTGACTGAACCACTCAGGCACCCCTAGGCGAAGTTTCTATGGAGGTAAAGGATGACTGATTACATTATCTCTTATATAGGAGTTATTAGCTAAGGATCTACAGGCAGGCTTCAGAACTCCATGAATCCCCAAAATGGTATATACAAGTTTGTATGCATTTGTCCTTATGTTGTTAACTATGAATCCAGGGGCATCTGGGTGACTCAGTTGGATAAGCGTCCGGCTCTTGGTTTTGGTTCAGGTCATGATCTCAGGGTTCTGGGATCAAGCCCTGCATTGAGCTCCGTGCTTAGCTTGGAGTCTGCTTAGGCTTCTCTCGCTCCCTCTGCCCCTCCCCAGCATGCTCTCACTTTCTCTAAAATAAATAAATCTTTAAAAAAACCCCAAACTATGAATCCGGTGGCAGTCTTCTTCAGAAAACTAAAGTATTATTCAGAAGGCAAAAACCATTCAGTCACATATTTGACTTTATCTGATTTAAGGATCCTTCACCAAAAAAAAAAAAAAAAAAAGATCCTTCACCGGTACCTGCATTGAGTGTTAGGTTTTGCCTCAGGTTCACCTAATGTTATCTCCTATTCTAAACTGCAGGTTCTCATGAAATAATCCTCACCGGATTAGTAACTAAATTTCTCATCCCTGAACAGTCTAAACCCAAACAGAAGAAATTGTATCTTCTCCCACTCTGTTCTGCCATGCTATCATCAAGCTATAATATTTAGAAGCCTTGTTATGTTCCTTCCTCAGCGTGTATGTGAATTCCTAAAAGCACAAATGAAGAGATGGAATCAAAGAGACATCATGAACATTTTTTTGTGCCAAAAGGAAGTACTCAAAAAATGATGGGAACATATCAAAGGACACAGAAGTCAACTCAAAGGGGCTCCCACTGCGAAATCTGGGGCACTTTGGGCATGAAAATGATCAAAAGTAAATTATTAAAACTTGTTGAATGGAGAGTCCATGGGTTCACACCAACATACATGGATCAATGAATGGGAGAAGAGGGATGGGCAGGAAGCTCTTCATCACAGGAGAAAGCCAACTAATAAAAGTAGAAGGAATGATGAAATTAGAAAATCACTAACATCCATCACAATAACTGATTCAGGCAAGAATCACCAATGAATGCTAAAACTAGTCAGAGGAAATTTGAGGAGTAACTGAATATTTATTCCTATAAATATCTCTCCTATAAAGTTACCTACTAATTATAAAGGATAAAATAATAACTTTCCAGTGAAGAAACCCTTGAAGACACCACCTTAACCAAATGATCAAAGTTGACATCACCAGTAATGGGACTGAAATCAACACCTGATACGAACTCAGCATCACTTCTGTGATGTTCCTGTCAAAAATGCATAACCTAAATTTAACTGTAAGGAAACACCACACAAACCAAAATTAAAGGACATTCTACAAATATGTGACTTTTCTTCTAAAATGTCAATGTCATGAAACAAAGATTCAGGAACTATTACAGAAAAAGGAGAGTAAAAGAACATGACAACTGAATGCAATGCATTATCTTGCATTTTAGGGCATTAATAGGACAATCAGTGAAATTGAAATTAGATTAGTAGACTAGTATTACATTATGGTTAATTTCTTAATTTTGATAAGTATACAATGGTTATGCAAGTGAATTCTTTATTGTTAGGAGTATGTTCACTTCATCTTCACAATGAAGTATTTAGGAGTAAAGGAGGATCATATCTAAAACTTACTCTTAAAGAATTCAGGAAAAATCACACACATACACCCCCCCCACACACACACACAAAGATTGAGAGGGAAAAAAGGTTAGAGCAAATATGGTAAAATGCTAATAATCATAGAGAATACCTGAGAATTCTTTACACTATTACTGTAACTTTTTATTGCAACTTTTCTCTAAGTCCAATTAAGTCAAAATTTTTTTAAAAAGTAAGGCTTCAGAAGTCACTGAACCCGTCTGAGAGTCCTCACAGCTCTCCTTGAGTAGGTCTCCTACTCAAGTTACTACAAAAAGGCAGTCACGCACAGGAGTGTCTGATACCTTGTTGTTTATGAAGCCGCTCCAATTCAGTCCTGAGGTAGTACATCTTCTTCTGGCGAGCTTCCCGGTCACTCTTTAGCTTTTCCCTCTCTTCAATAACCTGCAAAGTACAACATCCTTCAGCCTCCAACATCCTCCTTTTTCTTTTTTTTTTTTCCAAAGTCTAAGAAAGAAGATTTAATCTAGTAATGATTTTTTTTAAATTTTATTATGTTAATCACCATACATCATTAGTTTCTGATATATAACAAACATATATACATTACATCATTAGTTTTTGATATATAATAAAGTGTGTAACACCCAGTGCTCCATTCAATATGTGTCCTCTTTAATACCCATCACCAAGCTAACCCATCCCCCCCCGCTCAGAACCCTCAGTTTGTTTCTCAGAGTCCATGGTCTCTCATGGTTTGTCTCCCCCTCCGATTCCCCCCCTTCATTTTTCCCTTCCTACTATCTTTTTTTTTTTTTTAACATATAATGTATGATTTGTTTCAGAGGTACAGGTCTGTGATTCATCAGTTTTACACAATTCACAGTGCTCACCATAGCACATCCTCACTTTTCTATTGCTCTCTTCCATAAGCTGTCATGCTAGATGATATCAGAATCCAAGGATCCAAATGTCTGCACACATAAGTTCTGACTTTATATCAAAGGTGATATTTCATTCTGACCCAAATTCCAGAATAGAATTATCCTTATCAGAGCTACATTGCCCCAGAAGTATTATTTTTATGCAGAAAGCACTATACTATTTTTTTCTTGGGGGGGTGGGTAGCAGGGGCAGATGGAGAGGGAGAGAATCTCAAGCAGGCTCCACACCCAGCGTGGATCCCAACGTGGGGCTCAATCCCACTACCCTGAGACCATGACCTGGCCTGAAATCAAGAGTCAGACGTTCAACCTGCTGAGCCACCCAGCCGCCCCAGGAAGCACTATGCTATTAATGTTAACCTAAAGTTACTGATAGCAACTATTAGACAGTGGTTCTGAGCTCAAAGGGAACCATCAAGAAGGGAACTAATAAGTGTTATAGGGGACACACTGTGTTAGTTGCATTACATACATCATCTTATTTAATCCTCATGACACTATCTCTGCTTTATAGTAAGAAAACTGAAGTTGCGAAAGATCAAGTAACATACCCAAGATCATATAGTAAGAAAATTTAAAATCCAGGGCACCTGGGTGGCTCAGCTAGCTAAGTGTCTGCCTTCAGCTCAGGTCATGATCCCAGGGTCCTGGGATTGAGTCCTACAGCGGGCTCCCTGCTCAGCGGGGAGTCTGCTTCTCCCTCTCCCTCTGCCCCTCCTCCCCGCTCATGCTCTCTCTCTCTCTCAAATAAATAAATAATCTTTTTTTTTTTAATTTAAAATCCAGGTATATAAATCAACTCAAATCAAGTAAAATCAAATCCAGGTACATATAGCCAAAAGCCCACAGTGTTTCAACTGTATTACTACTACTTAATGGAAAAAACAAATACAGCTTGTTTATAATGGACTAGTGTGGAAAACCTGTGTATTAGTGCTAGGTTCTTGAAGAAGAAGTAAAGGGAAAGCATTCAGTCTACAAACAGTGTCTGTGCAGTCTCGGGTTTTGTCTGTATTGAACCTATCCCCCTCTTTCTGGAGTTCAGAGTATCTAAGTACAATGAAAAATTAAGAAGAGGGCGCCTGGGTGGCTCAGTTGGTTAAGTGACTGCCTTCGGCTCAGGTCATGATCCTGGAGTCCCTGGATCAAGTCCCGCATCGGGCTCCCTGCTTGGCAGGGAGCCTGCTTCTGCCTCTGACCCTCCCCCCTCTCATGTGCTCTCTCTCTCTCATTCTCTCTGTCTCAAATAAATAAATAAAATCTTTAAAAAAAAAAAAGAAAAATTAAGAAGAATGATTTCTGTCTTCTCAAGAATTAGCTAAATTTCCTTTAAATTGGAAAAAAAATGATTGGCCCTCCATTTTTTCCCTTTTTTTCTCCTCAGGTTTTCATTATTGTATTAGCAAACCAAATTTATATATTACATTTTTATGTTCCTAAACAAAGTGAGTTATAGTTACTAAGGACCTTTAAAATTAAGAGAACGCATTAATTTTTCCATCTGAATTTCTGCTATTCCGTATTCCTCATCCCTATTTTTTACCTGTTGTTTTAAAACATCTAGAATCATTACATCTTTACCCCAGCCACTGCTCCCTTCCTATACCAGAGAACACAATGAACTTTGTAGTATAAAAACTACTTTTTTTAAAGTGTCATAAAAAAGTATTGTTTTATAGAGTCCGGGACTCTAAAAGAAACCGAACAAGCAAAGCTTATTTCTTGGGTTTAATTACCAAGCAACAACCAGGTATTAGCTTTTAACCCTCATAATCACTATAGGAAAAGGATCCCAAACTCACTAAGATGAAAACAGGTTTACTGATTCTTCTTAACCCAATCCCATTTTGGTTCCTCATTCCCTGATGAGGTCATATTTGAAAACTTTAAGGCTCTCAACTCCTACCCATAGTGTTCTAAGCCCAGTAATTCTGATAGAGACACTTTATATTTTTTTTAAAGATTCTATTTTTTTGACAGAGAGAGAGAGACAGTGAGAGAGAGAGCACAAGCAGGGGGAGTGGGAGAGGGAGAAGCAGGCTTCCCATGGAGCAGGGAGCCCGATGCAGGGCTTGATCCCAGGACCCTGGGATCATGACCTGAGCCGAAGGCAGACGCTTAACGACTGAGCCACCCAGGCGCCCCCTGATAGAGACACTTTAAAAAGAAAAAAGAAGTCAAGAACTCACAGTGGGGCCTAGGGCCAGAATTTAGTTTAGTCCTAATGAGAAAACATGAGAAAAACAGAGGGGGTATATACATTACTTAGAGCGAGGACAGCAGCCTCCAAAAACTTAAAAGTAAAAGGACCTTACTCCCTTTAAAAGACAAATACCAATTTATGTTAAAATAGGAAGGCTCAGGCACAGGATGCCCAAAGCTAGTGTTTACCTTCTGCTTCTGGGAAGCACGGTTCTTCTCATCAGAGATCTTCTCCGGATTGTATCTTATGAGTGATGGGATGGACACCTGGACAGGCACTTGAGCAGTAGGAATTGAGCTTAGCACTGACTCCTCCTGTTTGGGCTCATCAGGAGTCACAGTGGGTATCACACGGAGATTGGGACGGCTACGAGTAGCTTGTTTGGTAACGGGTATTACCCTGTGTGGTTCAGGTAGAGAGTGGTTGGATGGTTGAGAGGCGGGGTACATGGGCCACCTTGAGGCTGCATATGCCATGTAATGCCTGTAGGCATCAAAGGAAGCAGAGGGAATGGCAGGTCCCTGGTAGTTTGGAGGTATCCGAGCTGCAGCAAACTGAGAGGCCCTTGGCATATGAAACTGAGATAATGAAGCAGGATGTGGAAGTCTAATTGGGGCAGACGGGGCTGACGGTAACATGCATCTGACAGCCACAGATGACTGAAAACCACTGCCAACTACCTCTGACCCTGCAACATGACCCACTGAATGGTCAGACTTTAGGAATGGGGGGCTGTTTTTTGTGAGCAGGTAAGGATCTACAGGGGAGACTGGATGTGGATGGGACACCTCTGGGGAGTGGGTATTGCTATGGTGTGCCTCCCTGCTCTCCAGTCTGTGAGGATCTGAGGAGTGCCGATCAGCTGAGAAATGGTGGTCAACTGAGGAACAGCGGTCTGCTGAAAAGTGCCGGTCAACTGATGAACGGCGGTCAGCAGAGGAACGTGATGGTTTCTTGCCATGAAGTCGTTCCTGGGTGCGGGCGGCCAGTTTACTAATCTCTGCTACCCCGATATCCAGCCCTATGGTCTTGAGCAAGTCATGAATCTTGGCATATTCTGGATTGGTCTCTTCTATTGATTCTAGTTTTACAGCTGGAGCTGAAGAGGGCAGGGAGCTTGCCTTCTGTCTCAAGACTTCACTCGCAGAGCCCCCAAGGGGCTTTGGTGGAGATTCTGCCTTTAAATCCTCTTCTTCATCCCCATAGAGAAATTTCTCCTCATCCTCAATGTCAGGGAAACTACGGCGCCTTTTTTCCTGTGTACTGGTAGAGTCTGCCAACATGCTCAAAATGCGGGAAAAACCACTGCCATCCTGGCTAGCCCTCTCATGGGGGAGCAAGAAGTCTGTGTGTCGCTCAGGCCCCTCAGGCTTCATATTCAGTTTCTCCTTGTGGCAGAGAAAACTTCCAAACTTCTCTCTGAGAGGACTGTTGTCTTTGGGCATCCCAGGGAGAGGACCCCATTGGTAGAGGCTGCCCTGAGGTTCCTTCAGGGTAGTCTCTACCATAGTTCCCTTATTTTCAATCTCTGAGGCAAAAGCAGCAATAGCACCACTTAGTGGAAGAGATGGGTGACCAGAGTAGACAGGGTGATCCTGGCTGGAGCTGGTGCTGCTGGAAAAACTATCAAGCTGCAAAGACAAGCACAAGTGATTTAGCCTCTATGCAGAATCTCAGAAAACTAGTAATTGAGATAAATACTTAAATACTTGGTTCTTCTTGAATTAATAGGGGAATGATAAGTATGAATGAAAGGGAGGTACAGTATCCTTAGGCAGGGTCAAGATTTGGGTCTCCATCTCTCCAGATGCTTCTGCTGAAGCAAGGGGAAACATGAAATAAGGCAGACTGGCATGAATCCTCACTTTTGCCCATTTGTTGTAGTCCTTACCAAGGAATATGAATTCAAAAGGACTTTAGAGATGCTCTAGCTCTTCCATGGGTCCCTCGAAGGAGGAAAAAAAGACATAAAAGTGGAGCTGCTTTGGTTCAAGTGGGATTAGGAAACTGTGAAACCCTAACTGATCAGCCTCCCTTTGCTTCTTTATGTGCCCTTAGGTACTCCTTCAGAAACCTTGGACTCCTAAGAGAATAGCTAAAAACTAGTGCTCATGCCTGATCATCTTTTCACAGATGAGGGAAAAATAACAAGGCCCAGAATGGTGAGGTGACTTGCCTAAAAATCGCACAGCAAGGGGGTGGCAGTGGGACCGGAATCAGAATCACCTGATTTCTGGTCTAGTGACCTACCACTCATGAATCTTGTCTTCTCTCTAAAGAGAAATGAGAAAAATTCAGATCATCTCCTCTCTTTGCCCTTTAAGCTTAATTTCCAAGATATCCACATTCAAAGATTCCTACAGGGCTACCCAATTTAGAGAAAAAACTTACAATAAATACTCAAAAGTGTTTATTTAGAAAGCCTAATATATGACAATAGAAGCCCTCTACTTCAAGGGCTTCGAGGTATGATTGCACTGTAAGGCCTACAGTTTCCTTTGGAGAATCCTGGAAGATAGAGCTCATAGGCATAACAAGGTTGGTCCAGGATATATTACAAAGATACCGTTAGGGACACACCCCCCCAGAAAAGTAACCAAGTTTCAAGATATTAGAGGGACTAGCAAGAGATCCTAGAAATGAAGCAGAGACCTGAATGGAAGGCTCCATGTCCACCTCAATCCGTTTCTTCAGAATTGACTTCTTGGGCATCACAGATACTTCCTCAGGCCGATGTAAAGAATATCCTGGCTCTGATGCTGTTAGGACACCCGACAGTCCAGGAATGGGACAGCTAGTGTCACCACCATCAACGCCAACCAGCTCCTGACTCAAGCTCCTACTCCGTTCCTCCTCTTCCTCTCGTTTTCGCCTGGCAAGGTCCAGCTCTCGAAACTCAGGATCTAGAAACCTAGGGCTTGGGCTTCGTCTACGCTGTCGATAGTTGCGGGTCCCTGATGTAAAACCTGAGTGATCACCTCCCATGCTGTGTATCTTCTCTGTGTCATCGTAACGGGGCCGTTTGGCCTCCCGACTCCTTTCCTCGGGTCGTATGGAGTAGGAACCTTTGAGTTTATCTCTATTCCTTTCTGTTCCCCGCAACAGCTCATCATGACAACTGATATGGGGACTATAATCAGAACGATGCAGGAAAGTTTCTCTTGTCCGGTAGTCCTCATCAAGTTGTCCTAAGAACGGACTAAGAGGTCCCTCCTCCCGGGAAATATATCGTTCAAGACCTCGAGAGCATTGGGAACTTCGAGTGAAGACAGAATCATCAGTCAGGTCATCCCTGAGGAAAGAGACAAGCATCACTGAATACAATGGACTTGGAAACAGCAAGACCAGACAAGATTAAGAGCCTGACATTCAGCCAAGGGGCTACAAAATACTTAAGACAAAACACAATCATGAAGTCCAAGAACAAACCTATGGAACATTTCTTTTCCCTTTCTCCAGGGCACAAGCAGCTTCAGCCTCTAACCAAGGAGAGATATTACTAGTCTCTCTAGACAGAGCTCTTAGGCTAATCTCTTTGACTAGACTTTGGAGATGCAGAATATCACACCAGGGTTTGGGAGATGTGAAAATACCACTACCAGACTACAAAAGGCCCTGGATTGAACAACTCCACACTAGCTTAAATTCTAGCTCTTTGCTACCAAAAGTGTGATCTGAATCAGCAGCATCTGTATTACCTAGGAACTTTTTAGAAATGTGGATTCTCAGCCTCTATCCAGGCCTCCTGAATCAGAACCTGCATTTTAACAGGATCTCCAGGTGATAGGTATGCACTTTAACATTTGAGAAACACCAGGCCAGATCAATGATTTTCAAGCTGTTCTTTTTTTTTTTTTTAAGATTTTATTTATTTGACAGAGAGAGAGAGGACAAGCAGGGGGAACATCAGGGAGAGAGAGAAGCAGGTTCCCGCTGAGGAGAGAGACCGACGTGGGGCTTGATCCCAGGACCCTGGGATCATGACCTGAGCCGAAGGCAGATGCTTAACCGACAGAGCCACCCAGGCGCCCTCAAGCTATGTTCTACAGAGATTCTGAAGTCTGCTCAGGAGCTGCCTAAAAGAAAGACATGCTAAGAAAGCAGAGCCTGGCAGCACCTGGGTGGCTCAGTCAGTTAAGCATCTGACTTCAGCTCAGGGTCTTGGGATGGAGCCCCATGTTGGGATCCACGCTCAGCGGGGAGTCTGCTTCTCACCCTTGGCCTCTTCCCCTCCCCTTGCTCATGCTCTCTAATAAATAAATAAAATCTTAAAAAAAAGAAAAGAAAAAAAAGCAGAGCCTGCATGGCTCTGGGCCTTCCACCTCACCAAAACTGTACTAGCTCCAATTTTATCTGTTTATGAGATAAAGTTCTATATATCATTTGGAAAAGAAGTGTTTCACTGTGGGGGAAATTTTTTTAAACTACTGAGCTACCTTACTGGTATTTTCTCACAAGTTTTAGAAGGTTCTCCAATGCTTTGTTTTGCTAGTTCACATATTAAAAACCACAAAATTCCTTCCACAGCCTGTTTAATTCCCTTCTTCTACTTTGCTTGGATATCCACAAGCATCTGCTAATCCTGGGTGTGGGAAAAAGTATGTGGTGGTTTGGCTCACTATATATTTTCATTTCATAGAAATAAAACGGTCTTGGACCTTTGTGGCGTGAAGATAAAAATATAGGCTGGGACACTTGTCCTTTTTCAGTTCAGGGCTCTATACCACACACAGTAGTCCTAATCTTTTTGGGTACTGTGGTCACAGAGTTTCTACTGCCCAAAAAGAAAATTTTTGATTTAATCACAGATAGAAATAAAGATCCTACAGAACTTTGAGCATACAACTTTTAAATAATCTGAATGAAAAATTTACAGGTTACTCACATTCCACTCACACTGGTGTTTGCTACAGTTTCTAGTACCTACCTCTATTTTTTGAAAGTTTCTAAGAAATAACTTTTCTTTCATTTTGTTTGTTTTTTAGTTGCTTTCTCTGGGACTGAGTTAGCAGAACATCGAAGAGTTGCCTATTCTTATTCACCAGTTCTGCCTTTGTTCAAAGTTTTAGACCTGGGTAACAGCTATAAATAACTTTATGAAAGACTTTTATTAAAGATAAACTTTATCACCTCCGCTAAAAGAATGCCACCCATGGGAATCCAGGTTCCTATAACTCACCTCTTCTGCAAGAGTCTGGGGAATTCTGAGGTTTCAGTATAGTATAAAATAGGGAAAAAATGGGATTGAAGCAAAGATGATCTCTGAAATCAAACATAACTAGAGTAAAACATTTTACTCTATAGGTCTGTCAGCCATGAACATACCTATTTCCAGGGAGGAATGTCCATGAGTTGCTCCATTGCTCCATCATCTACCATAAAAAACTCTCTGATTGTATTAGTGTAGGGGGGAAAAAACACAGGTTCCACAGGTAATGGCAAATTCATCCATACTTCCATGTTCAGTTCCACACTAAAACTATTACATATTACCACCAAATGACATACCAGCTCAAAATCTAATCCAGCCCTAAATATCAAGAAGTCAGAAATAATGAAATGGCTCCAAGAGAGTCTCAGTCAAGACTTGTAATCTCCAGCAAAAGGAGACAAAAAAACAATGAAAAAAGGCACATTACCAGTTAAAACAATGAGCTATCATGTAAACACAGCCAGAAATTAAGTTGCTTATTAGAAACTCATGTCCTCCTTTCCCAGATCTCCCAAAAGATAAGAGAAAGAACTGGCTGCAGTAAAAGTAAATCCTAAAAAGGTCCCCATACCCTGTAGCTCAGAACAGTCCAGGAACACACTCTGAAAGCTTTAGTTAAATCCAACTCTTCTCTAAAATAAGGTCTATCTATTTAAAAAATTGACTGTTGGATGTAGGTGACGAGTACACGGGGGCTCTCTGTACTATTCTACTTTTTTTTTTAAGATTTAATTAGCTTTATTAAGCTATTCATGAATTGGGCAGCATCTCATCTAGCAAGTAAGTAGAGGGGAGCTCCCTCTTTGTACTTTGTATTTATGAATTGCATTAAATAAGTTAAAAAATATGTAATATATATCCACATAAAAGTTTACACACCAATTGTTCATAGTAGCATTATTCACAATAGCCAAATAGTGGAAACAACCCAAATTTATCCATCCATTCATCACTGATAAATGGATAAACAAAACACATACAATGAAATATTACTGGCAGTAAAAAGGAATGAAGTACTATTATATGCTACATCATGAGTGAGTCCTGAAAAACATCATGCTAAGTGAAAGATGCTAGTCACATACGGAATGTCCAGAATAGGCAAATCTATTAGAGACAGAAAGTAGATTAGTGATAAGCTATGGCAGGTGGTGGGGTTAACTAATAAATAGCTAAGAGTACAAGTAATAAAACTGTTCTAAAATTGATCATAGTAGTGGATTCACAACTCTGAGAATATACTAAAAGTCACTGACCTATATACTTTAAATGGGTGAATTTTATGGTATATGAATTATGGCTCAATAAAGCTGTTAAAAAATGTATATGATAGGGGCGCCTGGGTGGCTCAGTTGGTGAAGCGTCTGCCTTCGGCTCAGGTCATGATCTCAGGGTCCTGGGATCGAGCCCCGCATCGGGCTCCCTGCTCGGCGGGAAGCCTGCTTCTCCCTCTCCCACTCCCCCTGCTTGTGCTCCCTCTCTCGCTGTGTCTCTCTCTGTCAAATGAATAAATAAAATCTTAAAAAAAAAAAAAAAGTATATGATAAAAAAAAGAAAAGAAAAGAAAAAAAGATCCTCCAGAGCCCAAACATCCCATCTTTTCCTCTGCTGCTTCCCCAAAATGCTGGAAGAAAACTGTGTGCTTCTGTCTTTTCCCTAAGGCAAATCGGAGGGTGCTTGCTTCGGCAGCACATATAATAAAGCAAATTGGAGGGCAAAAATCTTGCTCTTTCAACCTATGTCAGGGCAAGGAAGAGTTAAGAATTCCATGAATGAAACATACAATGTGCAGAGTACTTTGTTAATAGGGGAAATTGACCTCACATCCACAAATCTTCAGAAGCTGTCTTCATTCAACCTCTTCATGTTCCCTTTCCAGAATAAGTTAACATTAATACACACAGAGCTGCCAAGGTGAGAACCTGGACAACTCTGGCAATTTGGCTGTAATCCAAACTGGATATAAAATTTAATATATTCAATAAGGGAAGAGAAAGAACACCAGGGTCTCAGGAAAACATTTATTTATTTATTTTTAAAGATTTTATTTTTAAGTAGTATCTATACCCAACATGGGGCTCAAACTTACAACCTCAAGAATAAGAGTTGAATGCCCTACTGACTGAGCCAGCCAGGTGCGCCCAGGAAAAAAATGTAAAAACCTACATAGAAAGGACAAAAATGGCCTGGACCTGGAAATGGTACAGCTGAAAACTGGACACGCTATCAGGAGACATCCTGAGAACGCCAATGGTTCTATGACCACATTTTAATAGACAGTAATTATCTACACAAACCATATTGAGTAAAAGTACAGGGAACAAAAATCTATATAATGGACTAGTACCTCCTTCTATTTTTCTTCCTTAAGTAATCTCTACATCCAACATGGGGCTCAAACTCATAACCCTGAGATCAAGAGATGCATGCTCTACTGAATGCACCAGCCATGCGCCTCACCGGTAGCTTGTCTCTCTGAAACACTTAATTCTGGAAAGAAAACTACTGTCCCAAACTCCCTAAAAGGAAAATTTTAATTTTTACAACTTAAAAAAAGACAATTAGCTCTCTGAAGCACATGTGCATAACGAAGCTTATGGAAAGGGGAGGTGAAAGCCTAGACATAACAAGAGGAAATGCTTAAGTTACCGCAAAACCTTAACAAGGAAGGAAGAGAGTCACACCATGCACCACCTACTCAACCATCTTCCAAAATAGAAGCAGCCAGAAGGGCAAGGGCTTTTGCCTCAATTAGGGGATATAGCCACATACCTTGAAGCCTATCTTCAGAAGCTTATGTTGTATGACATAGAACTGTCCTGCCTTGCTTTGCCACATCAAATTGCCACTGCAGCTTTGAAGTAAATATTACCAAAGGGTAGCACTGGTCTTCAGACTTCCTGTCCAGCTGTCCCCCACCTGTCTGCCTATGCTCAGTGTACCACTGCATGGACAGCCTCAGTTTGTAAAAGCAACACATTGATTTGTTGCTACTGCTAATCATTTATTAAAACTCCCAGTATGCTGGGCAGAGACCGTAACAGACATGGATCCCAGCTCTCAGAAAGAGTGCTTTCCCTGTACTCCCATTCTTAATTACTTTGGTGAGGTGAGACACACCTAATGTGATTTCTTCCCATATATAGTTAAGTTCCTAACACCTGGGACCTATATTTAACACTCTGTGGAGCGTATTTGTCCTTCCTCAGCACTCCAACAATTGTAAAGTAGTAACTGAAATTAAACATTTTTAAAGAGCTTTAACTTTCTATTAATGCTTATATATTTAATATAGATACATATATTAGACATGAATTTATCTAAGCCCTTTCTGAACCTCTATTTCAACCTGACCAAGCTGAAAAATAACACCACTAAAACAAGATTTCCTATTTTGTCCAGAACTTTCCTTTGCAGAAAGGATCCTAGTTCCAGTATTTTAGAATCCTTATCATCTCAACTGTTTTTAATCTGGGGAACTCTGTTTATGTCCCTTCAGCTTTCCAGGTGGACCAGGATGACATTCTAAAGTCTTTTCTTCTACATAATTCTTTCAGCAACAGAGTCTATATCAATATACTCTCCCCACTCAGAAAGCCTTTTCCAATGTTATACCTTGTACTGGACAGAGGGCATAACTTCAGTGCTGGCACCACTCTTTCAAATACATTATTCAGAAAAGAGCAACTTTTCTACCTTCAAGCACTATTATAGTGTGCCCTGCCTCAAATGAAGCCTACCTGTCCACGTCCTCCAGATTATCCACTGGTGACCCCAGTCGATCACTAAGCCGCCGCCGTTCTGGTATGCCAACACAGAAATGGTCATTACCAACAGTGATCCTTAAGCTCTGTTCCAAAGAAGAGTCAGAACGCAGACCAGGAGAGCGCCTCTACAAAAGTAAAAGATAATGTTAATAGTCTATAGGGTGGAGACAGCCCAAAAATGTACTCCTCCTTAGTTATAAAGTTGTCACCCAACAAAGAGAGAAATGGCTATGATAAGCTACTACCCCCAAAATAAAGCACATTTAAAAAGTCATCTATCTTCTTAGATGAAAGACCACACTTCCAACCCTCCCCACCAGAGACCTTTCAGTCTTTCATTTCCTAGTACTGGGCATGGGACGAGAAGAATAAACTGAGTCTGTTCTCAGAATGTATACATTTCTAGTGAAGCAAGCAAGCAATAAAAAAATGTTTTTTTTTTTTAAGTACTTCTGATAGCGGAAAGTGCTATAAAATCATTAAAACATGATAACATGGAAGAGATTAAGGAAAAGGAGCTACTTCAGATAGAATGGTTAAAGAAGGCTTTTCTGAGGTGATACTATTTAACCTGACGCTTGAATGATGAGAGGTCAGCCTTGCAAACAGATGGAAGGATGTTTCAAGCAAAAAGAACAAGCTCTGTAATGAGCTTAGCATGTTTTGGGTAACAGAAAGGCAGCCAGTGTGACTGCAGCAAAGTGACAGAAGACAGGCAGAAGCCAGTTAGGAAATTTGGATTTTATTCTTAGTGTAGTAAGAAGCCACAGGAAGATTTCCAGCACAACAGTGATATGATCTGACTACATTCTTCCTCCAGATGCTTGCATTGCTCATACTCTCATCTCCTTCAGGTCTTTATTAAAAGTCACCTTCCCAGGCCATCCCTGGCTAACCCTATTAAAAAGTATTAACTCCTTTCTCTGTTTTTGTTTGTTCTTAGTACTTAATTCTATTTAACATGTCAAAATAATTTACTTCTCTATCTTACTTATTATCTGACTCCCTCTCGCAGAATATAAGCTCTACGAGGGCAGGGGTTTTTGACTGTTCATGTTGTATCCCCAGTGCCCAGAACAGAGCCTAACACATGCTAGATATTTAATAAATACTTCTCAAATGTATAAAATGAAGATTTAAAAAAATTATTTTGATTGCTGGGTACAGAATAAACTGGGTGGTAACAAGAGTGTAAAGGATCCTAACAGACAGGAAGTAATAGGACGTAGACTAGGGAGATGGTAGGAGGACAGTTTGGGGGATGTAGCCTGGAGGTAGAGCTGACAAGGTGGATGAAGTGACTGACAGCTTGGACTTGGGAAAAGGGAGATGATCACTGTTTCTGGCTGAGCAATGGGTGATGTCATTTACTGAGACAGAAAAGCCTGGAGCACTGGAGAAAAGGGAGGTTATGGAAACTAGTGTTCAACTTTCTTTGCTTCCTCTGTAGAAGTGCTTGCTTCCTCAGGCTATAGCTGCTCAGCTATGAAAATCTTACAACATAGTGACAAGTCAATTCACCTATGACCAGAGTACGTAGAGTACTCTGACTCCCAATACTTTTAGAAAGCCACCCCACCCATCCCACCTGAGAAAACAGAAACTTTGTCATGGGGTTTAAAGAAAAAAAATTGGTGAACTGAAAATAAAAACCAATTCCAAAACACCAGCCCCAGGCCAGAGGTGGTTACTGTGAAAGGTCAATATTACATCTAAACTAAACTTTTTTTTTTTTTTTAAAGATTTTATTTTGGGGGGGCACCGGGATGGCTCAGTTGGTAGAGCATGTGACTCTTGATCTTGGTCATGAGTTCAAGCCCCACATTGGGCATGGAGCCTACTTCTAAAAAGGGAAGGAAGGAAGGATGGAGGGAAGTGAGGATGGAAGGGAGGAAGGAAGAAAGGATGGAAGGAAGGCAGGCAGGCAGACAGGCAGACAGACACACAGAAACACAGAAAGAAAGAAAGATTTCGTTTTAAATAATCTCCCCACCCAACCTGGGGCTTGAACTCAAAACCCTGAGATCAAGAGTCGCACCCTCTACCAACTGAGCCAGCCAGGCACCTCTAAACTTAACTTCATGTTCTGTCCCTTTAGCAGGGAAACAAAACCGTTAAAATCACGCGTGCCAGGAACCAGGTAGATATGGACTGAATCACAGCTACACCACTTCTTAGCTAGGTGACATTAAGTTGCTCAAACCTCTCTGGATACCTCAGCTATTCAATAAGGAACAATTTTCACTGCCTCTCCTCAAAAGGTTGTGAGTGTTCAAAGAGAATGTGTAAAGTGAAGGGCCAGGCATAATCCTGCCACATAACTCAGTAAGCGGTGGCAGTTATTACAATGACTGTGGATACGCACAGCTCATTTCGGAGAAGCAGCTCCTATTTGCTAACAGTTTACACCCAAGGTGTCTACGCTGATGGGGTTTAGGCAACCCTAACTGGCCACAAAGACATTTCAGCTTCTTTTCTAAGATCCAAGGGGCAGCTCAGGTCTAAGGGGATACCAAACCACGGAACTCTGAGGCAACATCGACTACTGAACAAGTACCAGGCACACGGTTTGGAGGGCATTCCCCTCGCCCTGGCAAACTTTTCCGCATCTCACCTAGACTGAGAGAAACAGCCTATTCCTGAAATGGTGCACTGCCTCCCGACCAGGCGCCCGTACGGGTCCCGAGTCCGTTATTGTGCAAAAGAAGATCCCGGGGCTGACAGGGAACCTCCAGATTCGGGCGTCGCTGAGGGAGCCCGTGGGGGGTGGAGGGCCCTCGATCCTGGGACTCTGGCCTGGAGGCCTCGGGGCGCCCGTGCTGCGGGAGTTTCTGGAAGCGGGAAGCCCGGGTGAGGGGGCTAGGGTAGAGAGGGAGTCCCGGTCGAGGGGTGGGATTACCCGGCTGCCGCTGTCGCCTGGATGGTCTCCGCGGCCGTCCCGGGCGAAGTCGGCGCGGGACTCCCCTCGGCTGCTGCCTCGGAAACCGGCCGGGCCCGGCGGGAAGAGTCGTCGGCCCCGCGGCGGCGACGGGGAGCCACGACGGGCCCGCGGCGGGGAGGGGGAAACGCGACGACCCCGCGGCGGGGACGGTGAGGCCCGGCGGCCGCGGGGCGGGGACGGGGAGCCGCGGCGACCCCGCGGCGAGGACGGCGAGGCCCGGCGGCCGCGGTGCCCTGAGGGCGAGCGGGGCCGGCGAGCGGGGTTCCGCGACGAGGAGGAGCCGGAGGGCGGCGGCGAGGTGCGGCGAGCCGGGCCTGAGGAGGAGCCGGAGCTGCGGCCGGTTCGCGGGCCGCCCCCGCCGCTCTCTTTAGGCCGGTGCGAAGAGACGGAGGAGCGGGCGCCGCTGCGGTACATGGCTCTGGCAGCAGCGGCCACAGCTGCAGCTCCGACCCGGCGGCGCCCTAGACGCGGGGCCCCAGCGCGCCGCTGCAGCTGCAGTCTCGGCCGCCACGGCCGCCACGCGCCGCCCCCGCAGCCGGAGCCGCCCCCTCCCCGCGGCCCCGCGCCGCCCCTGGGGCCCGGCCAAGCGCGCGGCCGCGGCTGGCGGTTGGACGCGCGAGCACGCGTCCGACACACCCCCCCGCCCTCCGGGGCTCCCCGCTCCTCCACTCAGGGAGCGGCCACAGAAGCCAGAAGTGGGGAGGAGCGCAGAAGCCGGAGCCAGGCAGGGCGAGGGGCGGGGCAGCGGAGCGCGCGACCCGCGCCCCGGACGCTCCGCCCCAAACCGGCAAGATGGCGGCGGGTGAGCCGCCCACTTCCCCCGCCCCCGGCGGCCACGTGACCCCGAGCGCTCCGCGCGGGTAGGCCCTGGCGGAAGAGCAGGGATTAGCGGGAGCTAAACTGGCCTTTTTGGGGATGCTCGAAGCCTGGGGACGTGGCGGGAGCATCTTAGCCCTGCCCCTGTCCCCTAAACTTGTTCATTTACGTAGGGACAATAAATGGTTATAAGTTATGGGAATACAAACAGCCCCAAAACATTAGGTATGGCGAAGGTATGGCAAGAATGACCACCAAGTCCCCGGGCCCCACAGAAGCTACAGCCATCGTTTTACTTTCCATTTTGCCTGAACTCTGGCAATAGAAATTGGGGATGGGATAATGCAGAATGGGGATGGGTTGGGGGACGAAGAGTCAAACCCAAAGCAGACATCAGAGTAATCTGTTTGCTCTCTCAACCAGAATACTTCTGGTCATGGGGAAAGTCACTCACTGCCAAAGGGTCCGTATCATGACAGGAGGCCTGGAGAGTTTCTGTGAGCGATTCAGAACCCCCATTCTATGACCAGAATTTTCCGGGACGCTTCGCTGCAGTAGTCCCCAGTTTCAGCCTGCAAACTAAATGCAAAAGTCAAGAAAATGTTAACACGTGAAAGATGAAAAACAGTGGTCAAAACATGAAAAAAAAAGTTGACCCTAACCAAACTCTTCCAGACGAAACAATGCCTTGACGGTTTTCATCTATCACCTTGAAACACAAAATCTGAAATTGGTATGAAAATCAGGTTTCTGATTCCAAAGCAAAGGCAGAACAAAAAATTTTAAACCATAAAATTCCCATTTTCTAATTTGTTTCCATATTAAATTTAAAATATATCTAATTTCACGTGTTTGTATAATGGCATTTGCTTATAACATAGCTCAGTAAGAATAAATTCTTTTTTAAAATACTTTATTTCTTTTTTAAAAAATATTTCTTTCTTTAATTTTTTTAAAAAATATTTTATTTATTTATTTGCCAGAGAGAGAGAGCACAAGCAGGGGGAGCAGCAGGCAGAGAGAGAGGCAGGCTCCCTGCTGAGCAAGGAGCCCAAGGCAGGACTTGATCCCAGGACCCTGGGATCATGACCTGAGCAGAAGGCAGACACTTAACCGACTGAACCACTCAGGCGCCCCAGGCATTTGAATTTTTGATTCCTGACTTTTGGGTTTCACGGCTTAAGGTCTTCATCATGTCAAGGTTATTAGTATATTCCATATATTTTTTTAACACTTGAATGATTCTGTTTTCCAAAGTTAGTTTATCTGGAATTTTATGTGTGAATCCTTACATAATCAATCTATTAAGTTAACATCTAAAACTACTTTTCATGGATGGATAGTCAATTTTGTTCAAACATGAATTGGTATTACCTGTATAGTGGGAAGTAACAGTGAGGGAATGAATGAAACTTGCCAAATGCTCATCATCCACATCTCAGTCCACTTCTGTTTTCTTTTAGTTGTGTAATTTAACAGTGAAGAGATTTTGTTAATGGGATTTCTTTGTGAAAAGAAAACAAAATACCAGTATCGATGGAAATATCGATCACTGAGAAAGTGATGGCTCTTAACCAGAACATATGAGTTATATGTAAGGTTTCTGTACAGTTTAAAACATTTCATAATGTGTCCTATGCAACAGAGACCTCCACTCAGAGATTTGATTACACCAGCTAAATAGCATAAAAGGCCTGTCAGAGTGAAAATGGGGAAAACTCCTGCTCAAAATATAACCTAGAGTCCATTTTTTTAAACAATAAACTTTCTAATTGTCTGCTTCCAAGCAGAGGCAGCCCATGGAGCACATCATAAGGATGGATAACAGCTTCTATAGATGAAAGCTCCCGGAGGTACAAGTCACATGATACTTGTTTTAGTTGTTTTCCAGAAACTAAGAGGCCCACTGCTACCCAGTTCAGATGGGTCAAGACCTTCTTACTGGGCTTGCGCAAATGTCCACAGGTGACCTTTTGACATGGAGGAGACTGAAATCTCCACCCCCTGCTCATGTCAATACCCCATCTTTGAACAGGCGACATAGGAAAAAGCATGACAATGGACTGCGCCTGCATAGATCAACAATTCCTTGACCTTTAGTCACTCTTTCTAGCTTCCAATCCCATTCACCCATGCTCTCCCTAAAATCGCATAAATGTTCAAGACCCCTTCTCACAAGAAGGGAGCTTTGAGACTTGTTCTCCCATCTCCACATTTGGCTGCTTTGCAAATAAATTCCTTTCTCTGCCACCTATCTGCAAGTCTCAGTGATTGGCTTGCTGCGCATGGGGCAAACTGAACCTGGTTAGGTAACAACTGAAGGGTGACAGTGTATGTAAGTTGAGCTGCCATATAAAATAGTCCAGGGGCGCCTGCGTGGCGCAGTTGGTTGAGCGTCTGACTTTTGGGTTTTAGCTCAGGATGGTGAAATCCAGCCCAGCCTGGGGCTCTCTGCTCAGAGCCCCAGAGTCTGCCTAAGACTCTTTCTCCCTCTCCCTCGGCCCCTCCCCCTGCTCTCTCTCTCTCTCTCAAATAAATAAATAAATCTTAAAAAATAAAATAAAATAAGATAGTCCATAGAAGATGATTTTAGTCATCTCTGGCTTTGTGACATCAGGAGATCTGGGAATCTGGCAGACCTTAGCAGGGTGCATTGATATCTGTGTTTCCTTTCATTTGGGGCACAAGGAAGGATACTCTCTTCCTTCTTTCAGAAAGGGGGCCATGTTACTATTTCTAACCACTATAGACTGTGAATGGAAGCACTTCCGGGCCCAATCAGGAAAGAATAGTTGTAAGATTTCCATGCTCTCTCCTCCCTTGCTGTGGCAACTGAAAAGCCACATGTTCCAGATGGTACAGCCTGTCAGCCTGGGTCCCTGAGTGACTGTGTAGAGCAGAATACCACACCCTACCCTGAGTTGAACATATACCATGAGCATGAAATAAAGCTTTGTTGTGTAAAACACTGAGATTTTGAAGGATAATTTGCTACCACAGTATAACCTCCTGAATGTGACTATTATGAAGGTGTTTTTTGGTGGTTTTGTTTTCTTCTCATTTGTATTTTCTGACTTTTGGGTTATTTATATAACATAAAATTTAAAAACCCATTAAATTACTTTGATGAAAAAATAATTTAAAATATGTGGCACCTGGCTGACTCAGGTAGAGCATGCAACCCTTGATCACACTTCATGAGTTCAAGTCCCACGTTGGGTGTAGAGATTACTTAAAAATAAAATCTTTAAAAATAAAATAAAAATAAAAAATCTGCCAGAAGGCTATGCCCTGCCTTTATTAGCCTATATATGAATTTTGGTTACCCATGCTGAAGAAAATGTTAATAGGTGTTTACAGATACTTGGAGTCAATATATATATTTTTTAATTTTTAAACGTTGGGGCACCTGGGTGGCTCAGTTGTTAAGCGTCTGCCTTCGGCTCAGGTCATGATCCCAGGGTCCTGGGATCGAGGCCCACATCGGGCTCCCTGCTCGGCGGGAAGCCTGCTTCTCTCTCTCCCACTACCCCCTGCTTGTGTTCTCTCTCTCGCTGTCTCTCTCTCTGTCAAATAAATAAATAAAATGTTTAAAAAATAATAATAAAATAAAATTTTTAAACGTTTATTTATCTTTTTAGTAATCTCTATATCCAATGTGGGGCTCAGACTCACAACCCCGAGATCAAGAGTTGCATACTCGGGGTGCCTGGTTGGCTCAGGTGGTTAAGTGTCTGCCTTCGGCTCAGGTCATGATCCCAGGGTTGGGCTCCCTACTCTGTGGGCTTCTCCCTTTCTCCCTCTCCCTCTGCCTGCCACTTCCCTTGCTTGTGCTCTCTCTCTCTGTCAAATAAATAAAATCTTAACAAAAAAAATCTCTCCTCTTTAATCCTTCTCTAATACTGAATAACTATTTTTATCAAGGGATTTGGCCTCCATGGGATAAAATTGGAAAACACTTCTGCTTCCCCTTCATATCTTCCTTCCGCATAGTTTTTCCCATGCCCTGCATGAAACCTCTTGCAGATCCCTTCACTTGTTAAGTATTTTTCAGTCACAAGAGTAGTCTTAACTGCAGTAGTGAAAATATCTTGTCCAGGGTAACAAGTACAGCTCTAAACCTCATTCAAGCTAACGGTTCTCCCCTTCCCCAGCTCTTGGCGGCTACAGACGTGATACTTACTGTGCTGAAGGGAGGTGTGCCAGGCTTCTCCACATCCCTGCCTTTACTCCTCAGTGTATATTTGTCCTCTCTCGCTGGCCAGCTGCTATTTCTGAACTGCCCTCCCCCAGCATTTGGTGCAGGAAAAGAAGGGATTAGGGGGAAAGGGCAGTCTTTCCTGGATGGTGCAGGATACTGTCATCTTCCAAATTTCGTTCCCTGTGGGCATGGAGGATTCACAAATGTTGGCTCTTTCTCTCCTATGTCACCTTCGTAGGCTTTTTTCTGACTCTCCTGCTGGGACCTAGGTAATGCCTCTTCTCTGGTTGACTGCCTATTACTTTTCTCCCCCCAGCCCCTGGCTCTGTAGAGCTTCATCCACATAAAACTCACTCTCTCCTGCGTCTCTTTCCTCTCCTGGCACATATCACGGGAAGGATTCATTGATTGATTGATCGATTTTAAGTTTTTGTTTAAATTCCAGTTAGGTAACATACAGTGTAATATTAGTTTCAGGTGTACAATTTAGTGCTTCAACATTTACATACAACACCTGGTGCTTAGCACAACACGTGCCCTCCTTAATCCCCATCACCTATTTTC